GGAAAAAGTGAAATTACTGTAAAAAGTGTACTTTGCAAACAATTAATTTCTTATCCTCCTAGGAATGGAATCTGTAATTTGTTTTGTCCAGCCACAAATAAAAATTCCAACTAATACAGACATTTTGTTATCTTTTCCTTCTAAGGATACTTGTAGAATAATTAGCTTCAGCTAAAACCACTATTAGATCAATGTTATTTAATTATTAGGATATTTTTAATTCTTTACTTTAAAACGTTAACACTTTAATCGTACTATAACACCAGCAGGATAGTACATTAATTGGTTACCATTATTTTCACAAAGGAACAAGAAACTTAGGATTTCTATTCCAGAAAATTTACAAATAGAAATCATTTTTAAATTGATCAAAGTTTAGATTAGCACTATAATTTAAAATACACAATACTATATTGTCTATCAATGAGGATGCTAATAATTACATTCGGGAAATTGATTATCGACTAGTTTTACCCATAAATGGAAATCAAAATGTTTTCTGTTACTAGATAATATCACAATTTATCTAAGGAATAAATTAAAAATAAATAATGTAATTCAAAAACGTCATAAATAATATAAAACTCTGATACATAAATTTGCAATCATCACTGTGAATTAATCAATACTTATAATAGGAATTAATTTAACAAAAACATTTTTTCCCTCAATCGTAAAGCACTAAAATTAACAATTTTACAATTACTGAACTAAGTGGAATAGTTTCTGACAAGGGTAACCATTTCAAATTTTCTGTATATGTAATGTACTCAATTTTGTTTACAAATATCCGAAATACATTTCGATTCAAGTTCAAAATTCAAATTAATAAAGACTAAACGTAATATGTATGAATGATTTGATTATATTAAAGAATATCATGGAAGATATAATTAAGTTAAACGACAAAGAATATTTTCTGGATAATAAAAAAAACAAATAACATTGAAATGTTTGGAAAGTTGATGTCAAATAAAAATACCTTTTCTGACTTTAAAACGTTATTGTGACGTAAAAAAATCAACAACAAAACTAATCTCAACAAATTTGTCAAAAACAATTAAATAAAAATTGTCAGCAATTGATTTTACCAAAAAGGAAATTTTACATCTTTGAATTATAAATGTATATATATATATATACAAACAATAATAGACCTACCTATAAGGGTTAATTTTATATGAAACTGTGAAAACCTTTAGCTATATTATTATGAGTCCAATTTTATATTTAAATGCATACCCTCTAAAAAATGTCAACATGTGTTTATTTTTCTGAACAATCATACAATTGTTGAACGTCTTCAAAATATCAACATACCGTACTTGAAGTAGAAGAAACACCATCCTCATTCAAATCTGTCAGTATTCAGTATTCATATTAAATGTCAGAAAATATTTTTCAACTACTGTGTTCGACAACGAGAGATATTGCAATTTCACATGTCTTTATTTACCATTTTACAAAAATGTGCTCTTTTTTGTTTTAAATTGTAATTCAATTTCCTCCGTAATAAACGATACCAAAATAAATATATTAAATGGTTTATTAACATTACTGTTGGCGGAAATTTTTCACTTGTTTTAAAGTTTAACTTGAATATCTCACCTAGCTCTATTCTGCTTAATATATATGTAAATTTTCAAAACTTTCAAATTTCGTTATCTTACAAATGTTTTAAACATTTCTGAGGGTTTCATGTGGTTAGTAGCTTGGGACAAAAATATTCTTATACCTGCTTGGGGTTATAGAGCGAATAATATTTTCACCAACGAGCACGAGCCTTTGAGATTTTTAATTATCATATACTTTTACACGAACCTTTGACATTTTTTACTGTCTTATAATTTTCATAAGATTATAAGACAGTCCGTCTGCCTTAGTGCGATATGTTTAGTGTTGACGAAAATTCTCAATATGGCATGTAAAACGTTAGGTATATAACCTTCTTTTCGAAATAAGATTAGCATCGGTACTGTATGGCCAGGTGGTTAGGGCGCTCGACTCGTAATTTGAAGGTCGTTGGTTCGAATTCAAATCCCACCAAACTGTTAGGGTATTATAATGCGACGGTCAATCGAAGTCAGTAGTGTATACTTTTAATCGATTGAATTCATTAGATTAAGTCATTAAAATATGTGGTAAGGGTTACCTTATCCATATGAAGGTTTGGATAGTCATCTACATTTCGCGCAGAGCTACACGAGGGTTAATTGCACTAGCCGTCCATAATTTAACATTGTAGGACTAGAGTTACTTAGTCACCAACGAATAGTGATCAGTTATTTTTGGTGGACGTTTTCCCAAATCCAATGAATCGTATGTTGTGATTTACAAAGTCAGTTCCAAAAAAAAATTAGCCGAATATATTTAGAACTTTCTTTTTAGAAGTATATTTTTGCTGATTTCAAAAGGTGACACTTTGCAATTAATAGTGACTAAAAAGTTGAATTTTTTTTTGAGATGGGCATTTCATCTCCGTCATTATAACCCCACAAGTAATTTTAACTACGAAAAAAAGCTTTTACAACTTTGGGGGAGCTGGAATTAGGTATGCCATTACGTATGGAAGTTATTAAAATGTAATTTAAATACATCTTATTTATTGGAAATAAGATATTTATTATAGTTGGATTGGGGCTTTTACCCCTGATTCCCTGGATCCGTCGCAATTGTAATATCCATGATTCCTTATACCTACTACAGCTACTGTCATATATCCATACACACACACGCACACACACACACATATATATATACACGGTTAAAGTCATCTCATATGTTTGTTATCTTTAACCTTTTCATAGTGATAACGTACAAAGTACAGCTTAACCTACGGACTTACACTCGCGTGATTGTTTTTAAAATACAAAAACTAATTCTTTACTATGTTTAACCTCAGAAGCAATAAAATGACCGCGTTTATGTGATTAAATATTATAGTAACAGTGAGTTAATTTAATGAAATACTTCTAACAGAGTAATATTTATGTTGTACAATAAATACCGTAGCTAAACCTAATGTTTATTTTATGCAATGGAAAATTTGTCTATGGGAAATTAAAACGATACGTTTATTTGTTGTTCTGAAGGATATGGATTAATTCACTAAACTTATGCTAATTATGTTTAATGTATTTTTATAGCTCATGCTATATTTAGTGTGGTTGGTTTTGCCCAAGTTGGATTTTTCATGGGCCAGTTTATATTCTCTCGCGCAGATAATGTTTCCCAATAAATAGATTATCCAAAAGTACAATTAAAACATATCAACTAGGCCATGATTATCCTTAGTCTTAAGTGAGTAACTACTACAGATGGAATTGTTATGAGGTTGGCACACCACATTGTAATGATAGAAAATGATCTGAAGAAATGAAAATTGAGAACTAAGTGGGATTCTGTCTTTTGTTACTGCCAAACATCCCACTCTTACATACGAATGTGCAGAAATTGTGTGGGATTCTCTCTATTGTCATGGCTCAAGAATATTGCCAACTATCCTGTCCTTATAAACTAATGTGCAGAAACTTTGTGGGATTCTGTCTATTGTCATGGTTCAAAAGCCCTGCCAACTTTTCTGTCCTTATAAATTTATGTACAGAAATTGTGTGGGATTTTCTCTATTGTCATGGCTCAAGAGTACTGCTAACTATTCCGTCCTTATCAACTGATGTTTAGAAACTAAATAGTATTCTATCTATTGTCGTGGATCAAGAGTCATCCAATTATTCCGCCCAAATAATGTACGAAAACTAAATGGGACTCTATCTGTTATCATGGCCTAAGAGGTCTGCCAACTAATGTACGGAAACCTGAGAGAAAAACCTTCATAATAACCAGTAACTTAATTTGTAAAGCTAGCTGACCGGAAAACAAAGCCACAGTTTTGAATCTCACCTAGTTTGGAGTTATTTTACCTCCTTAGTTTAACTATCCCAGGTCTTAGCTTTTACTTCTTCAGATTAATTTCCAGCCCTTATCTTTATGAATCTCGCTTTTTTCTTATTATATTCAATACTTAGGTTATTATTTAGCGATGCGTATTTATGTCAACCACTACTTACTGTAGCTGTTATAATCCGCCTCCTTTCATTCCTCCAGTTTGTTCTTGCGGCTGATCTTACACATGCTATCATCTACAAAAAACAAAATTACCGAAAAACAGTCAGTAAAGTAGAAACAGCTATTATATTATGTATAAAATGACAGCTATTTCTCTCTATAAAGTTACATGCGTAACAATATTATTGAAAGCACAAGTTAAAATCAAGATATATACAACTGCCTGATATTTCAATAACTCTCAGCTTATATTTTCAAGATCTAATTGTTTTAGTTTGAAAGTTCTTTAAAAGCGTTAGCTAGTAGTTTACCATTCGTTGGACAGCTGAAAATGTCTGAATTTAATATCGTGTTCTTAATAATTTAATTTGTTGTTGGTTCTAGTGGTCTTTACATGCATATCCACGAAAGTCTAACCAATGAACCTCGGAGAGGTAGGAAAAATATTCTATGGGTTACAAACTGGATAGTTAAAGAAGGGATTAGATAAGGGAAAATACCACAGTTAAAGAAGGGATTAGGTAAGGGAGAATACCACAGTTAAAGAAGGGATTAGATAAGGGAGAATACCACAGTTAAAGATGAGGTAGAAATGTTAAGAGAAAAAGGCTGGAGATGAGCAGGACACATAATAATAAACATCGAAAGTATATTGGGACAGAAGGCAACAATATGTCAGGTGACTGACAGGAAAAAAAGAGACTAGGGCAGAGAAAGGGGAATGAATTAATTCGACATTTAGAGATGGCATGGATGAGACAAGTGGAGGATAGCGAACGGTGAAAGTGAGGCTATTGCCAAATTGCGGGAAGATAACGGCTAGAGAAGAAAAGGCCACAGAACCACATGGACTGACTTAATTATGAATTACTTGTATTGCTAATTTATTAGAAGAATTAATTTTAGTTCACAGTTTGAAGCTTATACTTTTGTGCTCATCAGTCAGATGCTAATTAGATGACACGTTTATGAATGTCACAAAGCTTGTTAAAATACGAATCAACTAAATTATTTTTTAATGTTGTCGTTAATTAACTAAGTTACGAAAAACATTTTGAAGAAAAAAAAGTCCCATGGCGAGTTCCGTCTACAGCATGTTTATAACAAAAATATTTTTTTTGTTTCTGTTTTCAAAACAGTATTAAACTAACCGTTCTGATGTTTCTCTGTGCATCACAGGCAGCCGTTAGAAAACCAGCGTTATCTGTGAAGCCACCAGTGGTTAAACAACTATTCCATTCGGTTCCATCCTAGAAGTTACAAATAAATGTAACTGTTATCTACATGAATCATTCACTAAGCATTGTCTTCACGTCATAAATATTCAAATTTATACAAAAAAAAAGTTTTTGAAGACAAGAGTTAAAATTTTCATACAACACATACACAAACACACATATAAATTTCAAATTACCTACTGTAACAGTAAAATAGAAACTGTAGTGAATTTTGCTATAAACTATCATTGTTAAGTACACTGTAGTAAAATCTGTTATAGGCTATAACTCTCAAATACACTGTGGTAAGTCTTAAAGGCTGTGAATGCAAATACCATTGTGGTACAGTTTGCCATGGTCTGTAATATTCTAAGCCACTGTGATAAAGCTTGTCATATGGAGTAACTTTCAAATACACTGTCGTAAGAAATTTATTATAGGCTGTAAGTGCAAAATACACAGTCTTAAAGTTTTTCATAGTATGTAACTTTCAAAATTACTATATTATAGTGTACGTTTATTTTGTATTGTAGTACGCTAATGTAAAATGAATAAAAGTTACCAATTAAATAATTTATATTTGTTAATTACTAGGAATTAAAGTATATAAACTCAACAAAACGGAGATTAAACAGAAGGAAAGTGGTAAGGTTAACAGTACCTTCAATTTATACAGTTTAGCAGTAGCCAATGAGTATATATATATATATACACGTTAATTATGAAATGGTTAAAAAACGTTTCATCATCTTACCTCTGCCTCTAACATCATAATGCAGCTGTCAAGATTGAGACCTGTAGTGTTAGCTGCAACAACATATATTTATCATTGATTTTTCAATTGTTTTAAAATATTATAAATTATACAAGGTTTTTAGGTATATATTGTTGTTATTTTATTAGTACAAAGCTACGCAATGGGCTATTTGTGCTCTTTCCACTGCATGGAATCGAACCTTGGATTTTAGCACTGTAATCTTACTGCTGACTCACCTGAGAAATTACTTATGTGAAATATTATGTAAATTACAATAACGAATTATATAAAACATCTTTATTTTACTTCTTAGAAAAGAAAAAAGTAATTTGTCAAATAACGTCATCATTTCAAGAAAAATAATTTTCAAACGAAAAATATAGACATTGTTTATTTTATGGAATGAAAACATATTATTAAAAGGTTTATAAAAATGCATTTCATAGAAAAAAATTTAAAAGTGTAGATTTTATTTCGTAGAAATGTGTGTAAGAACTGTTTCACCTTTAATAATGGTGTAAAAACTCTCAACTTATGTAGAATAACTGATTCTATACTGTTTTTAAATGTGACATTAATTAAATTATATTTTTGTTTGATATTATTTGCACTGAAATATAAAACAAAAATTATAAAAATTAAGCTTTAAAAATAAAGGTTTCGCTTTATAAAACATCAAAGTGTAAAGCAAAAATTGAGTTAGCGATCTACCAGTAAGTAAGAAACTTACCCAAAATTGTTTGTCATGTTATACCAAATATGATCTATTAGTATCTTAAATAAACATCAGTCATATAACTAACGATAAATACAAAAATATAAGACTTTCAAATGTATGATGGCGGACGAGGCAAAATATCCACACAACTAAGTACGACTTCCAGAAATAGTCACCGTGATATGACTTCCAAGAATACTCATATTAAGCTAAAATATATTGTATCACTTGCATCACCTATAGACCTAAAAAAATAATTTAAATACCTGTTCACAGCAAACTTATGAATACTAAGTTACTCGAAAAACAACAACAACTATATAGAAATGGTTTTTTAACACGGAAAATTTAGAAATTGCGCGCTAATAACTTTGTACTTCGCTATTATCATTGGTGTAAAAAATATTTGTAGGCACATTTTACTCTGGTTAAGGGTAATTTTTTAACATCTGACGTAATAGTACTTTATTTTTTTAATTTAATCACTTTGCTTTGTTGACAGATATCAATTTACTGGAATAGGTACACGGTTATGCCGAGCATAAAGAGAAGTGATAGGACGAAGACAAATTTAGAAGTGTTACGCACGACAGTAAAATCCCCTCGCTCAGTTGAACCCTTACTCGCAAAAAATAAGACGGTAACATTGGAACGGTTGCCAAATTTGAACCGTTCGTTCAAAGAGTTTCTCTACAAAATTTAATCGAAACCGATTGATCCAGCTCACCACAACACCTTGTGACACATGGCAGATGGAGGAATCTGCTTTATATATATATATGACTATGGAAGAGTCCAAGTGTCCACAGCTTTTGCTATTTAACATTGTTTTCTTAATTTTGATGTCAAAGTACCTCTTTATATATATATATAGTCACAATTTCGTCCTGGACGTAATGTTAAACTGCATTCAGCAGTAGGACAGTTAACTGTCAGGGTAACAGTGAGACAAGTACTCTCTAGGTGCTGTAGTCTCTAACTCGCCCTTAGGCAAGGCGAAGCACCCATTAGCATTCCTTACCAGGGTTACATTTGTAGCCGTAGAGGGTGCAGGGCGGTGGATCATTTGGTCTGGCGGATGCCTTGTGCAAATGGGACAACGATAGAGCAGACTCGCTCAAGTTAGTTGAGCACTGAAACTTGCAGCAAGAAATAGCAATCTACTACAGTACATTGAATAATGTATGGTAGTTCACGATCCAAAGATTGGATGAATGTATCGACGTTAGAAATTCTTTGTGCCTCAAAGAGAAGATATCCGTGGAAGACCATGGCCACTAACGTCTTGTTTGGTCATGGTACATAGAAAGACTTTCATAATTAGCTTTGTACTTATTTTAGTTTTTGGATTAGAGGCTGATACAGAGATGTTTTCTAACCACGTACATGGATGCGTGCACATGCAACTTTTTTCACATCCATTTACTGTGTTCTTGTAAATAATCTCTGATACGTGGAATATGTTTTAAGCTGTTTTGTTATCACATGTAGAAGCCAACAGTTTGTTGAGAAAATAGCTCTGTTTCTGTTGCTTGTTACTTTGTTTTGGTATAATGAACAACCATTTAAATCTCTAAAATACCAATGGAAACAACGCGGTGATTCAATGGAAAGGTCTGGAGTGGATGTTGATATTTGATATAGCGTTTTAACAGCAACTCTAGATAAGTGTGGGCAGAACACACAAAAACAATTCACTAAACATTAATTTAATTTGGCATAAAGACATGCATATATTATTTTTTATCTGCTCATTCCCCCATCTCATATCTATTTCTCCTCAAATCTGATGTCTTAATTGACCTATTGACTTTCTACTTAGAGTTACTATCTACATTGTAACGTATAATTTCATTTATGAGTGTTATTTTCATTCTGGATTAGAGCCATAAATCTCAGATAATTAATTTTGCTAAAGTAACTACAGCTACAAAAATCTAAAGTTATCTGTAAATCTAGAGAGTCCTGACAGTTCGAGAAGAATAGCAAATTGTGATACTGACCAAGATTGAACAGGGAAATTTTAGACAAGAAGTAAATGTTAGATTACACACAAAGATTATCTTCAGATGATTTTTTTAATTGGCGTCTCTTTTGCATTTACCATAAATATAAGTGGTAGTAACTTCATAAATGTATTCTTTCACTGTAATAGATGGAAACATTAGACATGTGCGTTTTGAATAAGAGAGTTAGTAACTTAAGATATGCACCTTTTTATTACGAGAGTTAATTACATTAGAAATATATTCTTTGACTACAAGAAATGAAAACATTAGAAATGCGCTCTTCGACTGCGAAATTTAGCTACAGTAGAAATATACTATTTAACGGCGAGAGATAATCACACAACTTTTACTCATCCATACAGGTTTTTCAGCATTTTTTGGCAAGCAGAGTATATCACGTGTTTCAATAAATTGATTTCATTATAATTCTTTAAAATATTTCCATAACTTTTAGTATATTTTAAAACATTTACATGATAACTCTAAGTTAGTGAAAAGTTAATTATTAAACATGTAGAACTTGCACCTTTATAATTGTAAAATTATAATTATCATGTGACATTTTAGTTTAGAAATTCTTACCGCACAGTCCACTAAAAGCACGAATGACATTTACCAAAGCTCTTCGATGTTGTCCAGGATTTGAATTTTGACTATTAACGTAAGTTATCAAAACGAGAACATTGAAGACGACAGATTTAAACATTTTGTTCGCCAAGAAAGTGTTATCGATTACGGTACAATTTTTTGCGGGAGAAAAATATTTGGAGTCTTGTTTTTCACTGCTCTGTTTTATAGAAATATCGAACATCCGGTATTTGTTGAAAGCAAATTTGTTTCGCGATCGTTTTCGACGTTATTTTTGAATGCATAAAATAAAATGCCGGAACTTGTTGTGGTATCTTAGGCTGAGTTAACAAACTTCTTTATTTGGAACAAATATATCATGTTCTAAAAACATTTTTCCGTTTATAGCGGATGTAATTAAAAAGCACAGAACATACATGAAAAATATCTAAATTTATTTACTTATTCAAAAATAAACTTGATGTTTTAGCTGATTAAAGTACTAAAGAGAGCTTCATAAACAGCTGTGTACTTTGGAAAATACCACCAGTTATTTGTTTACCAATTCTTTACATGTTATAACAGCTGGAGAGCTGCTATGTTTTATCTTTCTATTACTCAGGAAATATATTTTTACTCTGACTTATTTTGAATTTTTTTCTAATTATTTCATGCATGTATTCTGCAGTTGGGTAAAGCCCAAATGAAAATGATGTGACAGGTTTTAAGTTTACATTTCGGGCTATTGTTAAATGCTACAGTTATCGTCTTATATGGTTTATGCTCTTTTGGCTATGCTTCTGTATCGTGGCTTCCCTGGGTTGTGGGTCATCTCCAAGTAGCTGGGTGATACAGAGGTCAGAACAAGTATTATGATCTGATTCTAATCTTTTCTTATCCATTGAATACAGATAACGGCAGTGGTCGCTGACACAAGTAATCTAGAACTTCTGGCTACCACACTACGTCTAACGACTAGATACATTTCTCTTGTCCTTTGTGAGTGTAGACATCCCCGTATTCTCCTGTCTAGGTGTACTCTGCTCCTGATTTTACTGCTTATTGTGAATAATAATATTTGCTCGTTGGACATCAGTAGACCTGAATACTACACACACACGCGCGCGAGTTAATGCCTTCACCGTTGGTTTTAGGTAGAACACGCTGTGTTGGTTTAAACGCCTATTTGCATATGCAAATAAATAAATAAATAAATTGGTTCTACTGATTGTGTGATTGTAGATGTCATATCTATATACGTATAAATCTACCTTAGTTAACTAATTAAGTCATTTTTCTCCTTATTATTATATTTTTAATTTTAAATCGACTACACGTTCCAGCTGGGACAGTGGCAAGTTCATGGACGTAAAACATCAAAATATGGGTGGACAGAACACATACAACCAGCCGAATGTGCAGTTTTACACTAAAAACAACACGAAGAAAAACATGAACAACAACAAATCGACTACACATTCCAGCTGGGTCAGTGGTAAGTTCATGGAGTAAAATATCAAAGTATGGGTGAATAGAACACATACAACTAGCCGAATGTGCAGTTTACACTAAGAACAACATGAAAAAATCCCAACAAAAACAGATATGAACAAAAAATCGACTACTTCTTTCTGAGGAAGTGAATTCACCTTCTAAATGTTTTTTATAAGAATTAGAGAGAGCAAACTCTTTCTTTATATGTAATTTCTCGAATTACCAATCTTGTATTTTCTATATATCTACTTGTACTCGCATTAATTGCAATCTCCACTTTTTGAAGGTAAACGAACGACATTAAGAGAAACAAGATAAGTCCAGAAATTCTATTATTTTAATTTCTTTACCTTTTCAATATCACTGAAGTTATGATTATAAATCATTTCAACAAAATGTCCCTAGACAAATAAATGTTCTTCAGTCTTTAAAACTTCCAGTTGTTTGTAATACCATTAGCATGAAAACCTCAGATCAACTCCTGTCTCTTACGTCAAGTTTTTCAGATTATAGTCTTTACCGTATTAAATTTAAATCCTTTGATTATGATATTTCGATTTGTTGAACATAACTGCTATTATATGACTCATACAGTAAACATACTTAAAAACTACCGATTCTATTTTCGTTAAGATTAATGTAAAAACACATGACGTCTATTTCAGAAGTCAAAGTGGAAATGTGTTTAACTTTCTAATATCAAAATTTAATTTTGTTCAAACTAACAGTATAAAGGAGGTTAACAAAGCGTATCAATCATGCTATGAATACTGGAATTTTTCTGCTGTCTCCAGATACAGATTCTTCTAAGTATCAACGGGTGGCAAGGTTTCTTTGTAAGGGTGAGTTTTTTTAATCTTAGTGTGTAGACTGAATTAGAAAGTCACCGAGGATCGTTTCACATTTTCTCCTCTGTGGTGCATTTCACAATCATTATTTTAATTACACTTACGTCACTCTTAACGCTATTAAGGGTTTTTTGCTTATTTTGAGTTTTAACAACACAACGAATTGATGTTTTGCTTGTTTGTAATTAAGCGCAAAGCTACACAATAGGCTATCTGTGCTCTGCCCACCACGGGTATCGAAACCCGGATTCTAGCGTTGTAAGTCCGCAGACATACCGCTGTGCCACTGGGGGGCACAACGAATTGATATCAGACAATATAGTAAAATTTAATAATTTATTTATCATTCTGTAGTACTTTGAAAGTTCTTTTTTTGACACAAAATATGACACTCATAAGTGCATTGTATAATTTCACACGTAAAATTTTGATACAAATAATATAAGTTAGCTTATATAACCAAAATTGTATTAAATGTGTAATCACAAATGTCGTGTTAAATCTATTTTAACAAAGACAAGCTAACCGTAACAACTGAAACCATGTATATAAGAATTACAAGAGTTATTACAGAGTTTATGCAGTCATTTAGTAAATTGAAACGGACAAGCTGTTCACGAGTTTATAAAGTATGTGGAAAAAGTTTTAAACGATATCAAACTTCTAATTATCATGTTCACACACACACTTCTACAATTTTTATATTTATAAAGACAGTTTGACACTATCTAAGCTTTTCTTTTTCTGCTAGAGTTAGCACTCAGGTTTTCTTTCTTCATATCTCAAACTGTAGTTCTTAGCTAATGATAATATAGGTTTTGTTACCTAATGTTTACAGATAGGTTTTATGTCACTAATGATAATATAGGTTTTGTTACCTAATGTTTACAGATAGGTTTTTATGTTTTTATGTTAAGTATCTATGAAAACTTTCGGATAAACATGTTAGTTGTGACTAAAGTCAAGTAATTATCCAGATTTGTGGTTTTATGGTCGATTGGTGATAATAAAGCTAAAAATTGATTGGATCCCTGCAGCGTACAGCTCTGATAGCCTATTATGCAACTTTTCATTTAAAACAATCCCAGGGACGGAAAATGTGAACTAGATTTTTGTTTTATGAACATAAGATAATATTTTAAATCCATCAAATTTTACAATCACATACATATCTGCTATTTCTTGAATTTTGCGCAAAGTTACTCGAGCGCCATCTGCGCTAACCTTCCCTAATTTTGAAATGATAGACTATAGAGGGAAAACAGCTAGTCAATATCATTCACCGTCAAGTCGTGGACTACCGTAATCCAATATTGGGATTTGACTGTCGCTCTTATAACGCCTACCGTTGTCCCAAAGTGCGACAATGGTATGCGAACCAGGAATCCACAGTCCGGCACTTTAACCACTAGGCCGAGTTTGACCCTGCATATTTGTTATTACTTTTAGCTGAACAAATGAAAAGTTATAATTCTAAATAGACGTAAAATTGGTGAAAGCACGTAGCCGAAACGTAACTACGACATACTTTAGTAAATCATAATTCGTATAGCCATTGTCATTCATTTTCTTTGCTTTTGTTAATTGTATGTCTCGTGTGCTGCTGTTGATGCATCATGTTCCGTCTCTATAGGTAAAACATAGTCATGTACCAATAATACATGACACATTTTCAGTTTTTATAACATACTTAACAAGTAGTTCTGTATGTTGTTTAATGTTTCAGTCGATCCTATTCATATAGTAAAGTTTGACTGATATAATCCCTGATAGTTATTTTTACTGTAATACATTTATGTAATATTTACAAGATGATTTAGGACTTTCCAACTCGGGGAAAATGAAATAAGCGACCTCGTGGCAGCGGAAACAGGACGTATCATTACTGTTGATTGTAAATGTTAATAACAAGGAAGTCACAATTGATATGCTAAGTACTGTTGAACAAGATCAGCTGCGCAATAAGAAAAATATAATTTAATGACAATATTGGCATATATTCAAAGGATAGTGAATGTTGAATGTCCAGAATGGAAACGGCAAGCTGACATAGAAGCCACAATAGCATGCTGGCTGTAAACTACCTTTAAAACAAGTTTCAAGTATACGATCAAGCGATTGTAGTTTTTCCGAAATTACATAGATGAAAAATAAAATTCATAATAACATCCTTTATTCGCGATTTTAACAGCAACAGATGTAAAATACTGAAAATGTGAGTATGTTTTTATGATAAACAGTCTTATAGGTAAGATTGTTTGTTTGTGTGTAATTAAGCACAAAGCTACACAATGAATATCGAAACCCGGTTTATAGCGTTATAAGTCCGCAGACATACCGTTATGCCACTGGGGGCCACAGGTAAGAACTGATTGTAGATAAACGTTAGAAGCAGACACTGGAAGACTAAGTATTCAACATTTAGAAACAGGTATTTCTTGTTTGTTTGTTTTTAAGTCAATGATAGACAATGGGTTATCTTCACTGTGCCCATCGATGATATAGAACCCTGATTTCTAGCGTTTCTTTTAAAATTAAGATTGCTTTTGTTTAATTTTTTTTTCGTTAATGATTATAGCTTCCATATACTTTCTTTCTTAAAATTTTGTGCTTTTTGTAAAGTAGAAATTGTAAATGGGTTTTGATTATCTATGTTTGTATAGGAAGTGTTCTACTGGAGTGTTTTTGTATTGTTCATATTTATGTAACGCATTAATATGTTCCAATATACGCGTGTGTAAAGGTCTTTGGTTTCACCTATATATGTGTCTCCATATATATTTCACATGAATTGACAGACTATGTTTTTGGTGTGACATTTTTGTCTCTTCAGTTTGCTCAGACATA